TTCCAAATTTGAGACAGGATTTCTTTGAAAGGTCATCGTCCACAGGTAAATGAGGGGCACAAGCAATGTTAGGGAAAAAGAGAAAACAGCCGTAAAACCCTTCAAGATAGAACACAGGTAATATTTTTATTAGCAAAGAAGCCAACTTTGGGAATAAAATAAATACATGGCACTTGTTACACCCGAGGACCAAGGCATGCTTCCTCAGGAAGGCTGAAGGCACCAAGCTGCTGCTGTTAGTGTGCAGTCCAGTACGCACAAGCAACTCTGAACAAGGACACACAGCTCTCACCAGCCTTAAATGGAAGAATATTTACTCACGTTGTGAGGAAGAAGATGAAGTGCTTGGTCTCATGGGACACACAACTGCCGACTTTCCTACCACGCTCTGTCAAGTGGGCTATCTTTCTTCTCAAACTCCTGCAGCAAAGATCGCTAGGAATTTAGTATTGGCACAGTTCTCACCCCAAAGCTGACTACAGATTTTTTTGTCATTAATGTGTCTCTTCTTAACAAGTGTAACTTTTTGAAAAGGCAATTAAGCAGCAGCGTATGCTTTTAAGTACAAGGATTGTGTTACCTCTTCTACCCCACCTGCTGCTCAGACAAGAAAAAGCCCACAGCACCTCCCAGCTGCAACAGCCCCCAAAAGTCACACCATGCTCTCAAACTGTATCAGGTCAAGCAATTGTGTTCTCCCATCACACATTTCAAAAACGGAGACGCACAGCTCTACTAAAAGCAGAACATCCCAGTCAGCCATTACATACCGCCATATCCAACAGCTCTCAAATGAGAAAACTTTCTGTGACAGCATGCAAGCGTTTCTGATCAGTTTTTACGACCCTGGATAAATTATCCCCTCACCACAATTTATCAGGTTCCATCTGGGAGCCTCAAGAAAAACCTGACAAGCTCAAACCCTCTGTTCTCCACGAACATAAAATGCCGTCCTTACCCGTGGAAAAAATAAACTTGCTCTTATCTCTGTTAGGGTGACGGGAAAGGAATTCCTCCCCAACTCTACCACTTTCCAAAAAGCTCTTCCACTCAGATTTGTGTATTATTTAACCTTCACTGGCACCCTTAGATTTCTTTATTCTCCTGACGTGGCAAAGCAGAAAGTGTATCAGAAGTAGATCTTTCGTGCATCTGTTATTCTTCATGCATATATAAAACCAGGTATTCTGTGGACACCAGATAAACAGTGCTCCAAAACATGGGATTTTAGCATGTTTCAGCACATAAAAAGGCTACAAATACAGAAAACGTGCAGAAACTTACTTTTCCCTGCAAATTTTGAACCAGCTAGCCAATCTTGTACAACCATTACAGAAGTATGCACAGAACCTTCAGACTAATTTGAACACAATTTAAGTCGAGGACTAGGTAAAAAAAGACATTCCCTCAGAAGAAAGTTACAGCAGACTTCAAAGGGCTGTATTTTCTACCAGCGAATCAGTCACACTGGGAAAGGCCAGCAGATACACTCTTGTTCTGCTAGACAATGAGATTGTGAAAATAATTAAAAATAGCAGGCATTGCAAAACAAAAGCTAGGAGACGTACATGTAAGGGGTGGATAAAGGAACACAGGCACACCAGCCCACAGGAAAAGTCCAACACATCTTGTGGCCACAGAACTTGCTTTTCCAAGAAGTGTAGTAACACCCAACCTGCTCTAATTCCGGTGTGGAGAGTGTCCAACAATACGCTATTACAAGCAAACGTTTACACTCTTTGTAAGGGCTGCAATTTCTCTTTCAACACCGTATCGCTCTGTAGCCAAGACGGCTCACTCCACAGGGTCTTGCTGCAGCTCTTCACACACGTCCGCCCCGTTCAGCACAGCGGTCTGATCACCACGGCCGGCTGTACGGAGCGACGCAGAGAGCCCAGGGCTGCAGAGCAGCTCCCCGCCGGGACCCCCTGCCAGGCGGCCGCGCAGCCGCC